ATCCCCTTGGACTTACCGCTGCAAATCAAAGCTAGTTGAGTTGCCTATGTGCAAGTCTATTATATTCTTTTCATATGTCCACATGCCATATGTTACTATTATTTTATATCCGAACTCTGGATTTTCAACAAGGGATCCAACATTCCGTGAAATTTAAGTACAGATATGATCTTTATGTAAAGGTCCACAGTAATGTCAGGGCACTCTGATCTAACTATGCCCCATAAAATTTGATAGAGGAAAACATCTGGGTTTGGTATGTATTGCTTTTCTATTGTCAGTGAACAATCATTTTTTTATAGTCAAAAGCTTTTGAATGAAATTAATCTCCTATATTACGAGTTAGAGTGACCCGAGTTTTCTCTCTTGGGCAAATGCTTTTTCTGCCTCTGCTAACCTTAAAGGGCAAGAAGAACTACTTGCCAGGAATATTTATGGATGTCACAGGCTTCTATTTCTCAACCACACGCTTACTCTAATCCTCATAAATTGAGGCTGCCTGAAATTCACGCTTAGCCAAACCCCTGGACTTTCAGACCAAGTGGATTGGGATTTATGTTTTTTCTCATGATGCCAATTTAGACTTAACACAAATAATTATAATTCCATTAATCTCCCTCATGGCATGTCAAATCCAATTGCACTAGGAAACTGTACTTCCATGCTATCACTATACTGACTATGAACTGATCCATGTATTCCTTGAGCACATTATGAAGCACTGCTTTTCTCTCTTCTGAGAGAAAAGCAGTGGCAGTATCATGGTTACCAGGGGCACTGCCTAGAATGCACAAAAGATTGGAATGACTTGCTTTCTCTCCTACAGAATAGTGCCACAATTCTCCCCAAGACTACAGGCCACTTGGAGGACCAGCTTAATTGTTCATACACTATGAAGGTTTATTTTTGTCCGATTCTTAATATAAACTATAATATATCATAGGGAACTAGGGGATTAGCCATTTTGGATCTAATTCTCACTAACAGAGATGAAATGATAGAAGGTGTTGAAGCCATAGGAACCTTGGGAGGAAGTGATCATGCAATATTGGAATTCAACATTATGGAAGCACAAGCAATAGAACACAGTCAAACTAGAGTCTTGGACTTCAAGAGAGCTAATTTCAATAAACTTAGAGA